CTGTGACGACGTGCAGAACATCGACCACGAGAGCCTCAAACTCAGCCAGGTTGGACTTCGTTGCGTTTTGAAGAAAACGAAAACGAGTGGGCCAGGGCGGAAGGTCGGAGAGTTGCATGCCTTCGTCGCTAGGACCGTTGGCCTGAGTGGATATGACTGGCTAGGCGAGGGCTACAAGCTTTTGAGTGCAAGTGCCTTGTCCTGGTCACGTGACTTCCTTTGCCCTGCATTCAGTGCCGAGTGGGACACACCTGCCAAGGGCTTCCTGGATGCCGAAGGTTTGGCTTTGCAGTTGCGCCGGCTTCTCAAACACTTGCCGACGCCGGTGAAGCAACAAGGGGTTTGGAAGGTTGCGCGCGAGTTGCTTTTCCCAGGGGAGATGGCAAACTTCTGGACAGGGCACAGTGCACGGCATGTTGCTACCAGTCTTGCTGCTGCATTAGGCGTGAGCAAGGACCGGCGAGATTATCTTGGGCGCTGGGCTTATGCTCAGCATGGCTCACAAGATTATGTCTTGACTTCGAGGCAGGTGGTGCAAGGGGTGCAGAATTTCATTTGCAAATGCCTCATCGTGGGGCACCCAGATGGCGGGTATACTGAGGAGGAGTTGTTCTGCACCATGCGATCATACGCTGAAGCATTGCATCTTGCTGGGGATGAAATTGTTAAAGCTTGCTCTGTCCTGCAGTGGGATGATGTGGAGGCGACTTGGAAGCTTGGGGGAAATTTTCCCTCGTTCGCTGTTTCCCCAGACAGGGTCAGGGCAGCAGCTGGCAACATGGGTGCCGATCTGCCTGGGCCTTACCAAGACTTCGAGCAAGAGGAGGACAGGGATGATGCACCCTACTTCATCACGATTTCGAGAAAGGGTTTTCGCCGCTTGCATCTTTCAAAGAAGTGCGCTGTGCGGCGAGAGAATTGCTTGGAGACACTCCCGATTTTCAAGTTGTCGGAAGGCATCGCCGACGCCGTTTGCAAATTGTGCAAACCCAAGGTTGAAAGTGCCGAAGGCTCGTCAACTAGTGGATCTGAGGACACTCAGGTGGAGAATCCGGTGGAACCGGAGGAGCCCGAAGGGTTAATGCCGAATTTTGTTGGTTGAGTGATCCTGGAGCTTTCGTGAGAAAACAGGGGATCGTCTGCATGTTTGCACTTGCTGCCGGTGGAGTGCAGCCTGAGAGTGGAGAGTTAAGCTGCTGGTGGAGTGCAGCTGAAGAAGGGATGCCGGTGGAGTGCATCCGAAGCTGAAGTGATTGACCCTTGCATCATTGCTTGCTCAAGGGAGATGTGATGCAAAGTTTCTTCATGAAGGTCGAGGAACTGAGCGTTCACGGAACAGTTGATTTGTCCTGGGAGGATCACTTCGAGTGCTTAGGTCGTTTTGCTGACATTGTCACGTGTGTTCTTAAGGACCTCAGTGCGCTCGTGCGAGCATGGCGACCGACCTGCCGGCCGGTGTGGACCAGGCAGCAGCCTTGAATCATCTGGATAAGAATGTGAGCTCCGACTTGGTGCATATCTTTCAAGAGTGTGGTGTACCATTGGGGCTGCAGTACCGGCTCACTTTGAATTTCCAGTCTGTCAAACGTTTTTCTACATATGCCGATTCCCGGGCGGATGTGCGAACTGCTCTGAAAGATGATCATACTCTGGAGGCGACTGATCAGGCGACCCGGGCAGCTGTGGCCTCGGTGGTCTCCGCCTGGGAGACTGCGAAAGAATATGCAAGCAAGGAGTCCGAATTGCGGGCTGAGGTCGCATGCTGGGCGTCAGCAGACCAGTGTCGCAAACAGAGAAGCAAGCGATGCGTGCGGCATATGAAGCTGCACACGGCAACCTCGAGGAAGCATTCGAACCCTCTGATGATTATATATCGGCGAAGTTAGAAGAGATAGAGAATGGAGAGATTTCTGCAAGTGCTCTGTCAGAGGTTACTTCGAAGAAGCGTGTGAGGACAATGGGGATACAGACTACTGTTGACACTGGGGGCCACGTGCGGATAGTGAAGCAAAGAAACAAGGGAGTGATGCCACAACACACCGAGGAGCTGCGTACAGTATTGCGAGCGGAGGGCAATGCTTGGACCATGCTTGCTTCTAAGTTCAAGAACAAGGTTTTCTTTGCAGACATGTCTCCAGATGCATGGTTGGCATACGCGAACTACTTTTTGGGCGAGAAAGTATATCTAATGNNATGCAAGTACCTGCAGGTGGCAAAGGAGGCAAGATGGATCAGGCCCCGCTTCGGCCGCCATGGGTGGTGGTTCTCAATTATGAATATGAACTTCGGAAGGAAGCCATAAAGAGGGCATATCGAGACTCGCGGCCGCTCCGCGAGACCCTGCGGGAAGTCACTGAAGATGCTCAGATCAAAGAACAGTATTTTACTTCGCCCATTGCCCTACAGAACCGAGGCAAGCGTGCTAGCGACTCTTGGGAACCTTGGGATGATGGCAACTACAACAAGTGGAATCGGAACTCATGGAAGGGTGGCTGGCAGCACAAAGGTGACAATGACAAAGGAAGGAAAGGAAGGAAAGGGAAGGAGGATAGTAAGAGAGGGAAGGATGGAAAGGATGGAAAGGGAGGAAAGGGGCAGAGCATCACCTCTTCGAGGACTCCGGATGGTCGTTTCATTTGCTTTGCCTACTCTGGACCTGGGTGTGATGGCAACTGTGGGATGGTTCATTGCTGTCAGGTGAAGGGCTGCTTTGGGCCCCATCCTACCTGGAAGCATTGGCAGCAGCAGCATGAGAACAAGAGCAGCGAGGCGAAGAACTGACTAAGCGTTTTGGTCCTTTCTGATCGAGGAAACTTCGACATCGTGCATGAGTGTTTAACAGAATGCGCAACACGCACGGGGAACCAGCTCAAGGTTGATCACCTATGCGAGGACAGTAAACTTGGCAGCTGGACAGATCCCGTGGCTTGGGCTGCGATCTTCGATAAGGTTGCTGAGGAATGCTGGCAAGGTTTCATGTTGTTTCCACCGTGTGGCACGTTCAGCCGTGCCCGTCATCACAGCAGTGCTTCGTGCAACAGCCCCCCGACCTCTCAGGGGCAGGAATTTTCCACATGGTTTCCCGTGGCTTGCAAAGCAATCTCTTGAAGCTGTGCGACGTGAGGATTTTATCATTCATCAGTGTTTAAAGTTGATTCAACAAGCTTCTGAGGCTGGGCTAGGATGGTCTTTGGTGCATCCCGAGGATTTGGGCAAGCTCAGGTCCCTGGAGGACCCGGCCAGCATTTGGCA